ACTCAAGAAAGAGAGCCATCCCCCATATTTTGTAACTAGTCTGTTGAAGATTAAATACTAAAATTGAAAAGTCTGTTTGTAAATTCAAGCAAATGCAGTCTGAGTAGTTATAAAGGGGGGCATAGTCTCCTCTCATGTGTGGAGAACTGATGTCAGGAATTACTGTGTCTAAAATGTCTGTCTCCCACGTCATCATCACAAAATGGCAAAGCTATTATATTATATTAATTGCCATTTTAAAGATGAGGGAGTTAAGTTCATAGAGGGAACGTAGCTTGCCCAGTGTCCTAAAGTAGTGTTGAATGAACTCACCTCACAGAGACTATTCCCCGGAGCTAAACTCATGCCCAGTGGACCAAACCAAAATGGAGTGACATATGCTGAATAAGGGAAGGAGGGGGAGATGGATATTGAGACTGAATGAAGAAAGGGCAAGGGAGCAAATCAGACTGGCCAGTCTTGCCTTAGCACAAGAAAGTGACTTTGCCTGACTAGTGAGGGTCCTCCAATCTCTGTGTGTATCAGTCACCTTCCCCAACACCCCAGTGCCACACTGTGTGCATCTGGCATTGCTGTGCCTTTGGGGGTGCACCCCCATCTCACTGACTATGATTTGTGCTATACAGATGAAATCTCAGTGTCTTCTAGAAAATGCAGATAGCCCTGTCTGCAGCTGCAGCATTTTTCTGTAACACTCTGGCAACTACACACACTCCATAATTTTCCCAAGAGCTTTCGTCTTCTGTTGCTATTTCTTTCTTTCTTTCTTTCTTTCTTTCTTTCTTTCTTTCTTTCTATCTATCTTTCTTTCTTTCTTTCTTTTTTTTTTGGTAAGGTTTATTTTATTTAATCTGTGGTGTGTGTGTGTGTGTGTGTGTGTGTGTGTGTACAAACAGAAGCCAGAAGAGGGCATCAGATCCTTTGGACCTCAAGCCGGCTTGTTACCTGAGTGCTTGGATCTGAACTTAGGGCTTCATGATTGCACAGCAGGTGCTCTTAATCACTGAGCCATCTCTCCAGCGTCACCCCTGCCTACCATTGCTATTTCTGCAGTCAAAGAGAAAACGTGGACAAGGATTGGAGGACGTGGCAATCATAAGGATGAGGCAGGCTTATAGCATACACTTGTTTTAATGCATGCTGAGCTGGTTAGGTTTTTGTTTTTGTCAACTTGATAAAGCCATGTGTGAAGAGGGAACCTCAGTTGAGGAAATGGCTCCATCAGACTGGACTGTAGACAAGTCTGTGGGGCTTTTTCTTGATTAAAAACAGATGTAGGAGGGCCCTGCCCAGTCCTGTTAGTGCTGCTCCTCAGTAGGTCATCCTGAGATGTATAAAAAAGCAAACTAAGTCAAGTAAACAGACAGACAGACAGACAAAAAGCCCAGTAAGAGCTTCCTCCGTGGTCTCTACTTCAGTCCCCACCTCCAGGTCCCTGCCCTAAGTCCCTGCTCTGGCTTCCCTTAGTGATAGACTATAAAATGTAAGCTGAAATAAATCCTACGTTTTAGTAACGATGTTTTACTACAGCAACAGAAAAGCAAACTAGGGTACATGCTTGCTACATGGGAATTCAGGAAGGATGGCTTGGATTCACGGAGGAGAAACTGGCCCCACTCACTCCACAGTAGTGCTTTAAAGGCTGTCATTCCAGTGCTGTATAGAACACAACACTCAAAGTCACCTCCCCACCCCTTTTGAGATTTTTGGGACTACAGTGTAATGTGACTTAAATGTTCAACTCTGTGGCTTTCTTGCACAGAGTTGCAATCCAAGAACGGCCTGCCTTCATCCCACTCCCCCTTCATTCTCAACTCTAAACCTAGTAGTCCCGAGCCAGGGAGTTTCAGTGGCTGCCAGGCACTTGAGCTATTAAAGACGGGGACCTGGGATCCATGGGTATCCCAACAACTGAGTGAGGCCCAACAGGGCAAGAAAAGACAGTTTTTAAAAAAGTCTCAAGAGAGCTTCCAACTGAATAGGAACAGGTGAGTGTCCAACCGAATCGGGTGGAGTACAGAAGCCTGGGAGACACCTGGTAACTGGAGTTCTACTGCTACCACTCCAAAACAGACTTTCCAAATAGAAACTGTGACCTGTGACCAGAAAGATCCATGCTAATAATTTAAAAGATGGAATGGAAGAAATATTGGCACAGCAAGGAAAACTCAGCCATTGAAAGAAGAATGTGAAATGATGAGGGATTGGAGACTATGACTGCCATGACAACGAGGGATACAAGAAGAATAAAGGAAAGATGAGGAAGAGATGATTGATCAAGGAAGGGGCGAACCTTTCCCGGAGTCAAGGGCTCTAGAGAAAACTAAGGGGTCAATGATGGCGGACAGCTCCTCTGGCCCCTACAGTAACAATGGGGACACCTGTCCCAAGTGACAGTTGTTAAGAATCTGGTGGCTCCTCTCACTGTCACTGCCTCAGAACCCCAAAGGGTCGCCTCCATCTTGCTTTTGCTACCTGTCAATAAAGTAGTCCAAGTGGGAAAATCCTGTCAGAGCTATGCTTTTATCTTCAGTTCAAATCTGAAAATGACCCGAAGGAAAGACTTCCAAAGAGGTGACAAGTCAGCTGTGTGCCATGAGAGGGAGGAATTAAGGTCAGGGAAGTGACAGGAGTTGCTTCCTGGAAGATTAATTAAAAGAGGTCCATCAGCAAGTGTGAAGGGCACTTGACTCAGCCCAGGTGACAGAATCTGAACCAAGTCTGCAGCTCCAGGCAACGGCAAAGCAGGTGGCTAGACAGACCGGTCCTGGCATGGTGTCCCCTACCACACCCCATAGCTTGCTCAACTGTAGAGTGACTCTCCATAAGGAAGACCCCTGGGCCTCTTGTAAAGTGGACAGAGCTGGGAACTGAACACACAGAGCACTGAAGAACCCAAGCCGGGGCAATGGAGAATGACGAAGAAGCACACAGCTAAGACGGCTCCTCCTTAGTGTTGAGTTAGCGTTCAGAGTGAAGCCGACCACACATTGACAGCGGCAGTCAGAGGTCAGGGCTACAGGGACAAGGCTCACAGGGCAGGATTGAAGAGCAGTAAATGCCCAGGCAGCATCTCTGTCAGGTTTTGTGGCTTCTAATGGAGAAGACAGAGAAGAGAGGGAAGATGGAGGGGACAGTGAGAGGGCAGGAGGCAAGAGAGTAAAGAAATGTGAGGAAGGAGCAACAGGAAGAGAGTGAAGAGGAGGAGGAGGCTTCATCGGGCTGGACTTGAATGGAATCCTTTGATCTGTCTGTGCCTTCTACCTCGGGTGAATAGATGGTTTGTTGTATAAAGCTGATATCTAATTTTTCATTTAATACTAGAGGCACCCCTAAAACTGCACATCTTCACCAGCCTCTCACCAGTCCTAGGCACACATGCAAGCCCTCAGAATAGGTGTGGGCCCACCCAGGGCCTAGGTCTGTTGTTATGCAAACTAGGAGACATTCTCCACGGAGGCCAAGCCATCAGGTGGTAATTAGCCAGCATCTGAAAGACAATGTGAGATTCAGGCTCCTGGAATTGAGCTGAGGTTTGCACCCCAAAATATCATAATTGATCTTTTTTACCCCCCCAACGCTCCCCCCACCATGTCCAGTCTGGATGGGAGCAGAACAGACATTCTGGAATGTTCTAAGACTACGGATGCGCTTTTAAAGTCATACCACTTTTTCCCTTGATCCACTTTTCCTTCGTCTTATGACAGACACTTCGTAAGGAAAGAGCATGGAAGGAAAACGTTGAGACCTTGAATGTTCAAATAGTTTTTATCCTCATGTCTGTCTGGTAGTTTTTCCTGGTAGAGAATTCATGTTGGAAGCATTTTTTTTTCTTTAAAATTTTTATTCATTGCAGCTATATTCTCCTGGGACATTGATTCTTGACCCTTTAAAAGAAACTGATTTTAATATTTGCATTATTAATAAATTTTAGATCTTCTCTTAGTCCTTGTGAATTTATTGTCATGTGTCTGGTTTTCTTCTACTGCTGTGAGTTCCTTGTGGCCTGTTTCTCAGGACACATAGAATCTTCAAGTTTAGGAAACAACTTGAACATAGAATCTTCAAGTTTTAGGAAACAGCACTCCTGCAGGAAGGTGTCTATACAACAGCAGTCCTGCAGAAAGTTTCCTTGGTGACTTTTTTTTTCCAGATGCAGACTCCTTCTTGGAATAGGCTAAAGTTTCTTAATTCTCACAGTGCAAACAATTTTTTAAAATTTATCTTGGATTAAGGAGATGACTCAGTGGATAAAGTGCTTGAGGACACCAGCATAAGGACCCAAGCTTGGATTCCCCGCACCCCTGTGAAGCCAGGCACAAAAGTACACATCTGTATAGCCGCACCTCTGCAGGTACAAAAGTGAGTGTCTGTACAGCCACACTCCTGCAGGAAGGCATCTATACAACAGCTCTCCTGCAGGAAGGCGTCTATACAACAGCACCCCTGCAGGAAGGCATCTATGCAGCAGTCCAGCAGGAAGGCGTCTATATGACAGCACTCCTTCAGGAAGGTGTCTATGCAGCAGCACCCCTGCAGGAAGGTGGGAGGCAGAGACAGGAGAATCACCACATTCATAGGCCCATGAGTCTGATATACACAAAGCTGAATAACAAAGCACTCTACTCAAAAAGGACTGAAACTCCAGGTTGTCCTCTGACCTCCACACATGTGCTGTGACATGTGTGTGCACACCAACACAGACTCAGAAACACACAGACACACACACACACAGTTACCTTTCCATTAATTTAACAATATCACTGGCCCTAAGTGATGCTTAATCATTATTGTGAATCACAGCAGAACTGAGCCGGCTTCCTGCAAGTGTAAGCCTTAGGGTTCAAGTTTATAGCCAAACTTCTTGTATTCCTCAGGGAGATCACTAGATTCTCAGAGTGCTGAGTGGCTTTCTCTGCTAGTGAACCTTTCCCACACAAGGGTGCAGTCTCGCTGGCTTTCATAGTGACATCCTGTTCATAAGAATTCTCTCCAGCCTCCCATGGCTTTCCCTCCAATGACTCATCCATAACAAACTCAACATTATCTCTCACCACAGCAAGGCTGAATTTTCCATGATGTGGGTAGCGGTGGCCAAGGAAGGAGGTGAGCAATGGCCAAGGAAGGAGGTGAGCAATGGCCAAGGAAGGAGGTGAGCGATGTGTCCACCCAGATTCCTGCTGAGTTGATGGAAGCCTTTCCTGTCTGACCTGCCCTGAGGAAGGATTGCCTGCTGAGGCACGTATTGATGACTGGGGGAGACAGGACTGAGAGGATGATGGGAAAGGACCTGCAGACATGCAGGGGAAATCCAGAGGATGAAGGTTCAGTGTGGCAATTGCTGAATTTAAGCGGGAGTTCTTCAGAATGTTTTTTAGGGGTCATTGACCTCAACATAGGAGGTAAGACAGAAAGGGTTATGGTTATTGAGTGGAGGCGTGTCTGAGGCATCTTGTTTACCAAAAACAAACGTAAATAGAATATACTCAATCTCACCCCAAAACCTATTCACTTAGTCTTAAAATTGGTAAGAAATAGACATCTGGATAGAACCGTGTGGGATGTAACTGAAAAGTTTTAAGAGCTGGTCAAATTTTCTACAAATGAGCACCAGAAGCTGTCATGAAAATTATTCTTTAATGATGACCCGTGACTCTCCCATTCATTCCCTGCTGGTTACCTTCACCAGCCACCAGCACTCAGGGTCTTTGGTATGAAGTGATGTGGGGTTGGCTTATTTCTAAGATTAAAAAAAAAAAAAAAAAAAAAAAAAAAAAAGGCAGCAGATGAAGAACAAGTCCAATCGTTTCCCAAAAGATCTCTTAGTCAAAGGCAACCTCATAGGGAGCCAATGGAATATGCCAGTCCTGAGGGATCAGCACCAGGGCGTCTCCGAACCACAGTCCTCTTGAGTCTGGGTCTCTAGGTCTCAGGTGGCTGCAGTTCAGCTCCGTGCCCTTCTCTTCACAAACACAGCGCAGCCTGCCTCGCACCAGCACCTCCGCCCAGCACGGGAGGGCTCTAACTGCTTCTGTAGGCCAAGAGCATCAGACTGAGGCTTTGTAGTCTATTTGCTCCGTTTTTGTCTTCAATATGTACAGATAGTTTGGGGATTGTCGACCCTGTAAGTCACTGCATTGCCGTCTATGCCCCATGAATGGAGGATAAAGGTGAATGAAAGTTGGGTAGGGGGTACAAGCATGTTATTCCGCACTTGAGAGGAAGGAGCAGGAGGATGAGGAGTTTGAGGTTAGCCTGGGCTACATGAAACTCTGTCTCAAAACAAATTGACCAACTAGGTGAATAGCAGATTTGTCTCTGTGCGTGCGTGCGTGCGTGCGTGCGTGCGTGCGTGCGTGCGTGTGTGTGTGTGTGTGTGTGTGTTCCTCTATTGCTATCTACCTTATCTGCCTTGAGACAGAGGAGACAGAGTCTCCCATTGAGCTTCAAGCTTTCCATTTGCTAGGCTGGCCAGCCATTGAGCCGCCTGTCTCCATTCCACAATGATAGGGTTACAGACACATTCAGCAGTGCCTGGCATTTTGCACATGTGCCAATGATGAAACTCAGGTCATCATGCATGCAGAGTAAACTGTCTTACCCACTGAGCCACCTCCCCAGCCTTGACTGGGAGATTTCAAAGAAACTTATAAAATGATTAGACAGGGAACTCGCTCAACAAACCCATTGTCAGTGGATTGTCATGAATGTTTGATTTCTGTTCTGGCTTAAGATCTTACTGGGTGGTGAGAGGCCTTCAAGCCTGGAGTCGGGAAGCTGCTAGCCAAGGTTACGTTGCAGTTTCATCCCAGGCTGCCTCCTTTCTCTCATTCCGTCTTCATAGCTTCAAGTCCCTTTTAGCAGGGATATTATCACAGGAGGACCTGTGTAAGCTTGATTCTGGGTGTGGTGAACACTTACCTATTTCACTTGTAGGGGATACTGTACCTGGTCCCAGTGTGCACCCAAAGTGTGGACTTTTCCTGTGCTGTCCTGGCCTCCAGTGCCGTGTGACAGATGAAATGAAGCCCATCAACGATGCGGCACGTTATTTCACTGGTGTTGCCTCTCTGGAAGACTGCTGTCTGTGGACAACTCTCATGCTATTGTGTGTTAGACCCCCGAAAACTCAAGTATCCGGGGTCCCAGGCCAGGTTCGGGGTCACCCCAATCACCAGGCGGATTCGAGAGCTTGCTGCCAACTGCACGAGGTTTTATTGTAATTTAACGAGCTAACCCTATGTTAGCGCGGGTCTTTTACCCACCCGCCATGGCGGACGGCTAGAAAAGACGGCTTGAAGCCGCTGCGCCTAGATCTTTATAGGGCAGTGTAAGGGGAGTGTCTAGGGGTACACGCAGGCTCACGATTGGTGTGCCTCCAGGCTTGGAGGGCTTGCCCTGTGTTGATTGGTCAACTGGTTGTTATGGCCCATAGGCCCTCCCAGGGTGGTTGCTATGCTCTCTACGTCATTGCTGTGCGCTTGTCCGTAAAAAGCACCCAGAGCCGTAAAGCATAGCACCACCAGCTAACTTCTGATTGGTTCCTTGTCACAAGGCAGGCATCTGACTTTCTAGTGACTAGGTCAAGGTCATAGAAGCACATGTTAGACCATTATGGCTGCCAAAAGGGAAGCCGGTTCCTTCAGTGAACTCCTGTAATTGTTGTGTTTCCATTATTTTATACATTTAATTTTAGAAGACATACATACACACACACAGGCACGCACACTCATGCACACTTGCACGCGCATGAACCCTTTTCAGGCACTTAGACTCTGCTTTTTACTAACAAGCATGGACTCTCTGCTTGGGCTCATAGGGTAACACAAAGCAGGCTGAAAGCCTGGCATCTCTACCTTCAATTTGTGCCTGTTCCCTATACCAAGTCAGAGTCCTGCTTGACTCCTCACAGGTGTGCTGCCTACTAAGGGATATCTGTCAGCTAAACCTACTTCACTCCCCTTCAAGACCGATGATTGAAAGCCAAGTCATAGCTGGGCGTTGGTGAAGCACGCCTTTAATCCCAGGCGGATCTCTGTTGAGTTCCAGGCCAGAGCGAGTGCCAGGATAGACTCCAAAGCTACACAGCGAAACCCTGTCTCGAAAAACCAAAAAGAAAAAAGAAAACCAAGTCCTTATCCTAACTCTGCTGTCACCTTGGATACCAGGACCCGAAGAGCCTGGCAGCACACACCACATTATAGGCAGACGATTTTCCACAATGGTGAGGTAGCACTTGGATGGGAGTAACCACCTCCCAGGGACCACGTTCCCTCCAAGTGATGGCTGCAACAAGGACTTTTCAAATCCTTTGAAGAAGCAGAGCTGACCCAGGCCGCCTCTTCATCAGGACTGCTCAGTCATGAACACTTCTTGTCCCTGTCCCAGCTCTTCCTCTGTTTAACTCCAAACCCATGTCAGTACCACGAAGACAGCTTGGGGCCACTGGATTGTTCTGTCTGTTCCTCATGTCTCCAAATATCGATTAGATTTCCATCCTCGGCATCCACCATCACTCATATCTTTAATTGGTGTGCTGGGAGACTGGCCTGTAGGGGCTGATGGGGTCACACTTTCACTTTAAAACTCCTGTTACAAATACCTACACTGCGGGAAGCCCTGGCTAACCAAATACTCAAGGAGGGAATTCTCCTGAGGGCAGACAGGGGTCAGCACAATCTTGTTGCATCCCATGCCTGGCCCAGGGCCTGGCACATAGTTGATATTCAATAATTTTTTCTCAGTGAAATAGAGCAAATAGCAAATATCATTTAATAACTCCCCAGATCTCAAAAATGTTTCTTTCTGTGTTGGATTCTGGCACAGCTGGCATTTAACAGGGGCTCTGCCCTTCATGTGCATGAATTCATTTAACACTCACCGTCATCCTGTGGTCTTGTTTACAAAATCAAATTCAAGGATTAGAATTTTTTCAGCAGACAGAAGCACGCGCTTGCCAGCTCGTCCCCACACTACATCAGACATCCTAGTGAACACTCCAGGTAGGGTGGAGTTAAGTTCCTATGGTCTGATCTTTGGAGACTCATCACATTTCACTGCCATAGCCCAAACACAGAGCGTGTTCTCTGACAGGCAAGGAGCCCTGGCTTCTCTGGTTCCCAGATGCCTATCTTCTTTTGAAGTTAAAAAGCGCAAAATTAAGTTGCTGCAGTTTGAATCTAAAGTGTCCCCCAAAGGCCCTTGGATTAAAGCCCTCATCCTCAATATGGGGTTACTTGGAGGAAGTGGGCCATTTAAGAGGTGGTCCCTAATGCACAGGTCATTGTGGGGCCCTTAAAAGGGACTGGGGGACCTCAGTGGCTCCCTGTCTTTATCTCCTGGTCACATGAGGCTCCAAGGTACAGAATTGTACTGGTCCATAAGTAACGGGACCACCTGACCTGGGACTGGAACCCCCAAAACCGTGAGCCTGTAGAGCGTGGTCATGTACACCTGTTATATCAGCCCTGGGAAGCTCAGACAAGTTCAAGGCTGGCTTGAGTTACATAGAGATTTCCCAGGGGCAAGGAATGGCTTTGGAATTTAGGGTGAGAACTTGTGTCAAATAAATAAACAAATGAATGAATAAGTAAGTAAAATAAAAACATAAATAAAACTTACCAAAACTCCAAAACAAAACAAAACAAAACTCAGCAATAGCAATAGCAACCAAACAACCCAAAACAAACTGAGTATGCTGGTTAGTTTTTGTAAAGCTGACACAAGTTAGATCACTGGAAGAGGGGACCTTATTTGAGGGATTACCTGTGTGCCAATCTGCGGATCGTTTTCTTTACAGATGACTGTGGTGGGGTGGCTCAGCCAACTATGAGTGCTGCTCCCCCCAGGCAGTGGTCCTGGGTTGTATAAGAAAGCAAGCTGAGCAAGCCAAGGAGAAGAGCCAGTGAGCAGCGTCCTCCACGATTCCTGCCTCAGCTTCTGCTTGAGTTTCTGCCCTGATGGAGTGTGATGGAGATGGGTAAGCCAAATAAACCCTTTCCTTTCCAAATTGCTTTTGGTCACCATGTTTATCACAGCAAATGAAAGCAAACTATGACAGAAATGGGTACTAAAGACCAGGTTATGGCTGTGACAGTCCTGATCACATTGTTTGGGGGAGGACTGTGGAAGTGTTAGGAATTTGGTCTGGAAAAGCTATCTCAAAGCCATTACAATGGGCTATTCTGTGGGAGCCTGGGAGGTGAGACAGTTGACAGGAATGAGGATTGTTGAGTTTTGGCTCCTGAAGTTTCAGAAGTTTGAGAGTCCCAGAAAGCCTCTAGCCAGGCCATTCATGTGACCCTTTAAAAATCTGTGGCTTCTGGCTAGCTGGGGTTGGTTAGTTTTTATGTCACCTTGACACAACCCAGAGTCACCTGGGAAGATGGGGCCTCAACAGAAGAATTGTGTGCATCAGATTGTCCTGTGGAGACACCTGTGGGACATTTTCTTGATTGCTAATTGATGTCGAAGGACCAAGCCCACTGTGGGTGGTACCATCCCTAGGCAGGTAGGCAGGGGCTATGTAAGGAAGGTAACTTAATGTGAGCCAATGGGTAAACCAGTAAGCAGTGCTCTTCCATGGCCTCTGCCACAGTTCTTGCCTCCGGGTCCTGCCTGGAAGAACTGTGATCTGGAAGTGTAAAATAAAATAAACCCTTTTGCCCCAAGTTGTTTTTTGGTCATGATGTTTATTAAAGTAACAGAAAACTGACCTGAGCAGGGCCCCATTGCTCCCAAAGGGCCACATCCTGAGCAGAAGGTATTCTTAAAATCCGCCTTCTTAGGGAGAATTATCCAGGGTTATTTTGGTTGTTTTTGTTTGTTTGTTTGTTTTGTTTTGTTTTCCCAACGTCAACAGGAACTGACCTCTTTGTACACTACCAAATCCTTTGCTTCAGTCATCACTTTTACACCCCAAGCATCCCCTCAGCTAAAATAGTCTGGTGACCTGAGGAGACGTCTGGTCAGAGCATCAGGGTGGAGTACAGGGAGGATGCCCGGTCTCCTGGTGTGATATGGAAATGGTGACAAAAGAATTGAGCAGAAAGGCCTCTTCCTAGAAACCACCTTTCGGGGTCAAGCGTGACTTTAAACAAATAGTACTGAGGCAAATGCATTTTCTACTTGAGAGCTGCAGGATGGCGGTGGGTGGGGGTCGGTGACTGAGGCTCCCTCGTTCTCTTGTCACCCTCTGCCATCTGCCGGCCACAGCATGAAGTGCTCCTGAGTGACTTCAGGTGGTTCCTGTGAATTCTGTTTTGTTTTGTGGGGTCCAGGGGGTGCTTGGGGAAGCCTCCTCTTCTTCCTCACTTGAGGAGCTACAGGATTGGGACACCATGCCTAGCTCAAGGAGGGGAGTTTGATTACTGTATACTTTCTGAACTTGAAATGCGGCTTCTGAGAAAAGTTGTGTCACAATTCACCAAAATCCAAAATTTATTTCCCTCAAAATCACAGTTCTGAGGAGAGTTAAATATCTGAAGAATCAACTTGTCATTTTTATCCCTTTACTGGAGAGGTAACATTTAAATCTGAACACCGTGTTTAAATTCTGACCATAATCTTTTTATTTTAGCAGGTGTCTGTTTGTGTGTGTGTGTGTGTGTGTGTGTGTGTGTGTGTGTGTGTAGATTCAGGGGTTGGTTCTCCCTTTCTACCATGTGGGACTGAAATCACTCAGGTGTCAGGCTTGCTGACTTGTGACTTTACCTGCTGAGCTATCTCCCTGGCTCTCTATAACTTATCTATGATGTCGGCCAACAAATGTCACCTGTCCTCTGTCTCCTCCTCTGTGGACCTTGAGAGATACTAGATCTTTTTCTGTAATGAGTTTGATCCAGATGATGGGAGTTTACAGGTGTTCACCTTGTAATAGCCCACCTGCCCTCAGTAACTCCCATTCACCATGCTCTTGGATCTACCTAAGAGTTTCGGTAGGGAACGCAAAGCATTCTGGGAGCTACTCATGTCTATTTGTCTGTACCGGCTGTTTGTGTCACACAGCGTCCCTTTCAACACTGCAGTCAGTGCAAACATTATCCATTCGTGCTCCTGCATCTTCCTTATTGCCTCCTGACAGAGTAGTTCACATTCCTTGTGAGAACCTACAATGCACTCTCTGGGCTGTGACGGCTCATTTCTGTCTGGGAATAGCGGCCTAAATTGCCTAGGTCCCTAAGGGTCAGGACCAGTCTGTCGTATCAAGGCTCACGTTTAACCAGGTGCAGCCATCTGGATTTGTCTTGAGAGACTCAGGGAAGGGTCCCTTCTTTGAAGCTGGCCCTCTATACCTCATCCTGTCCAGTGCACGTGTGTTCTCATCACTGAGGTCACATTTGTCACCTTTGCTGTCCTGTGTCTAATAGTCCCGTTAGCCCTGAAATGAACAGTGCACTAGATACTGATGTCAAAATATTTGTTCACCAAATTAACTTTTTTATAAAATACTTTTAAATTTTAGTTATTTTTAAATGTATGTGTATGGGTGTTTTTTCTGTCCACCTTGCCCATCCCTGGTACCTGCAGGGTCTAGAAGCGTGTGACAGATGCTCTGAGACTGGAGTTATGGGTGGTTGTGAGCCCCCTGTGGGCGCTGAGAATCCAACCAGGGGCCTCTGGAAGAGCAGCCAGTGCTCTGAACCACTGAACCATCTCTCTGGTCCAAAACTTATTTATTTATTCATTCATCAATTATTTATTTACTTTTGTTTTCATTTTTTTTTTGAAACAGGGTTTCTCTGTAGTCCTGGCTCTCAGAACTCACCCTATAGACCAGGCTGGCCTCAAAGTCAGAGATCCAGTTGTCTCTGCCTCCCAAATACTGGGATTAATGGTGTGCACCTCCACTTCCTGGCTCAAAATTTACTTTTATTTGTTTATGTGTAGGTCTATGTGTATATGCGCATGTGTGTATGGTGCTTGAGGAGGCCAGAAGAGGGTGCTGTGTCTCTAGGAGCTGGAGTTGTAGGCAATTGTGAGCCACCTGTCATGGGTGCTGGGAACTGAACTCTGGCCTTCGGTATGAATGGCAAGTGGTTTTATTTGCTTGGCCATCTCTCCAGCCCCGAATCTGGAATTCTTGACAGGCCATAGAATCCCATGAGAACAGCCCTATTACGTTTTGTTAGGTGCAGTAGGCGAGTCAATTCTACTATTATCCATTCCTTCTTTATACTTTAAAGACCTCCATGTTTGCTGATGATGTTCAATACTTAGCCACAGGATCCCACGACCCTCTCTAAAATCCGGGGACCTACAAAACCGGAAGGTGCCTGATATCAGGGAATGTATCTTACCCCATGTTTTTGTTTGTTTGTTTGTTTTTTCATGCTGGGTGTTTGTGCATGCTAGACCAGGTTCCACCAATGAGCTACAACTGAGCCCATCTAATTCCTTCTTTAACTCTTTATGTGATACACAGTTGGTAGCGGTAGTTGTGGTGATGCCAATGACAAAGATGATATTAAGTGTAATGTATTGAGCCCTCGCAGCATGGCAGAGTCATTATTATTAATTCACTTATTCCTCTCATTTACCTCTGAGGCAAGTGCCATAAACATTACTCAGAGAGATATACTGTCACATCAGAGGGTCTATCATTTCCTAAAGCCACACCTCTGGGAAATGGTAGAGATGGGATTTAAACCCAGATCTTTCTGGCTTCAGGAGCTGAGTTATGGTGATAGCATAGTCTGGTCCATGGTAGGTACTTAATATATGTGTATGGAGCCAAACTGAGATTGAATGGAATTTGGCAGGCTGCTTCCCTCCCTATTTTCCTCTCCTAACTGACTTGCAAAGGCGTTATTTGTTACAGAACATTATTTTATCATTAGTTTCCGTACTCCAAAGTCCCTTGAGATAGCCAACTTTCACAACCCACACTTCACATGCATTTTTTAACCCCTGTAATAATTCTGAAAGGAATATGTGATTAGCATCCTTTTTCAGACGAGGGAACAAATGCATAGGCGAATGACTTGCCTGGTAGTGGAAAACTTATGATGGGAGCTGAAGTGCATCTGTCTGTCTGTCTGTCCACCTCTGACATCCCAACTCTGCTCAGGCTTTTTCCAGGTCAAAAACGACCTGGCCCAGTGCCTCTGAGTTTCTGTCTCCCTTGTTTTCTCTCTCCAGATCACTCTTCTTGCTAGCCTGGCAGAAATCACAGAAGTCTCATAAAATGACTGATAGGGTTGGGCTGGCCGGTCTAATCTGGTCCTCCATCTGCTCTCTTTTACTAGGACAGTTACAGAAAATCAACAGTGGATGTCAGAAGCCAGAGTCTGTCCATGGAGACGGCTGGACACAGCCCTCCACTGCCTTTGCCTCCTCGTCTCTCTTCCCTGTGGCTGGCAAGCATGGGAGAGCCAGGCAGAACATAATTTATTTTTCTAGAAAAGAAAAAGATTTCCCTTGGGAAATGTGCAGCATTGTAAGCTGGAGGAGGGCTCTGGCTCTAACCCCAACTGCACCTACTTGGGGAATGAGTTTCCCTAGAGCTCCTCAAGAAACTGAGATCTAGACATGACTTTACTAGACCTGGTGGTTTGTTCAGTACTAAAGCTCACACTGCTAGGTCTTTATAATTTTATATATATGGTCGAACTTGTAGACCAATTCACTGTGTCCTTTATTGCATATTTATGCCAAGCTGTAGTTCATACTGTAAAGATCCAGGCATTATGCTGGCCTGCCCCTGTCACCTGGCAGAATGCACTCAGGCAGTACTCTGGTCAGTCCAGGTATAAAGGACCTTTTTAAAAGAAAGGCCTAGGCCCACTTAAGCTCTTTTTCCTTCTCTTTTTCCAGCTCTCTTTCTGCCCTCTCTGTCCCTCTACCTTTCCTGCTGTGGCCCTGGGCTCCCTCTTCCCTCTGTCCTCTCGCGGTCTCTGTGTCTCTCTGTCTCTGTGTCTCTCTGTCTCTGTGTCTCGGTCTCTGTGTGTCTTCACCGCTTTTCTCTTTCCTCCCCTCCTC